ATGCATTTTAATCATTAGTTTTCAAGGACCTGTGATTTCACAGATGTGAGCTCTCCCTCTAACAACACAGATTAGAATCCATTAACAACTTAGCAAACAGTCTTCAGGAAGTGTACTAGCTCAACAGGCAGTCATCCAGGGGATGAGCCTGTCCTCAGCTTAACAAGGCTAGTCCTCAGGGAACAAATACAGCATGTCATCAGGCATTTCAAGCTGGACAGGATTTACCAGAGCCTTCAAACACCCAGAGGCACTATCATTTTATGATAAGACAGTACAAAGCACTTTACATAATCTCATTTTATCCTCACAACAGTACTATGAGGTAGGCAAACAAACCTCATCTCCAGGCGGCTAAATGTCACAGTGGATAGAGCACTGGCCTTGAAGTCAGGAGGACCTCAGTTCAAATCCGGCCTCAGACCAAACACTTGACACTAGCTGTGTGACCCTGGGCAAGTCACTTAATTCCAACTGCCTAAAAATTTTTTTAAAAATTTAAAAATTTATAAAAAAACTTAAGGGCAAAACTGAACCTCAGACTTGCTGAAGATCATGCAAGCCAGTAAGAGGCAGAGCTGAACATCAAACTCAAATCTCCTAATGTTCAGTCTAGTCATATTTCTGTATGTTGGGGCAGCTAGGTGGTGCAGTGGATAGAGCTTTGGCCTTGGAGTCAGGGAGGACCTGAGTTCGAATCCAGCCTCAGGCACTTGACACTTACTAGTTGTGTGTCCTTGGGCAAGTCATTTACTCCAACTGCTTCACCAAAAAGCAAAAAAAAAAAAAAAGCAAAACCTATTTCCTGTATGTCACAATTCTTTTAGCATATAACATTACTCTTTATTTTAAGAAGTAAAACAATCTGACAACTTAAGTTGTTATGTCAGTCAATCAAAAAGTCAGTCAAAAAGCACTTAATCAGTACCTACCAAGTGTCAAGTACTCTGCCAAGCACTGGGGATACAAAGAAAGGCAAAGGACAGTCCTGGCTCACAGAGAACTCACAGTCTAATGAGGGGGACAGCATTCAAACAACTATTACAGAGGAAAGGTATTAGTATTCTTTTTAGTTCATAGTTTTTATTTATTTTTTCTTCAACATCTACATTTTCTTTTCGTATTCATAAAGAATGCTGCATTATTATTATTGCACAGGACTACAAGCATAGGGTTACTGTAATCCAAACTACTTAAACTTCATAACTGTGTACAGTGCTCACTTAATAGAAGAAAAACTATAGCTATAGGGGATCATCTAGTCACTCACTTTAAAGATGAGAAAACCAAGACTCAGAGAGTCCAATTAACTTACCCTAGCTTGTACAAATAATTAATGGACCTATTAGAATCAATACTAGAACCAGAGTATCTTGACTATTGATTATTGAAATGGTAATTCTGCAAATCCCATTAAAATATTACACTCTGAAATTTGAACATGCAAAATGATACCTTTTACATGACATATTTTAAGGCTGGTTTTCTTCTCCCTTCCTTCTTCTCCCTTCCTTCTTCTCCCCTTTCTTTTCCCTCTGTTTCTTTTCCTCAACTTCTGGAGTATTAGTATTAAGGAGAATCAAGGAAGGCTTCTTGCAGAAAGTAAGATTTGAACTGAGACGTGAAGGAAGCCAGGAGGTGGAGATGAAGAGGCAGAGAATTTCAGGCATGGGGACAATCAGTGAAACTGCATGGAAAGGGAATATGGAGTGTCATGTGCTAAGGAACAGCAAGGAGGCCAATGTCACTGGAGTGCTGAGGATCTGAGGGAGTTATTGAGTCATTTTTCAGTCTTGTCTAACTTTTCATGACCTCGTTTGGAGTTCTCTAGGCAAAAATACTAGAGTGGTTTGCCATTTCCTTCACCAGCTCATTTTACAGATGAGGAAACTAAGGCAAACGGAGTGAAGTGACTCGCTCAGGGTCACAGCTAGTTAAGTGTCTAAGGCCAGATTTGAACTCAGGAAGGTAAGTCTTCCTGACTCCAGGCCCGGCACTCTATCCACTGCACCACCCAGCTGCCCATGTGATGAAGAATAAGATGTAAAAAGGCTGGAAAGGTAGCAAGGGGCCAGGGTACGAAGGGCTTTAAAAGCCTGAGGATTTATATTTGAATCTAAAAGTGAGAGGGAGTCATTGGAGTTTACTGAACAAGAAGTGACCCATTCAGTCTTGGACTTTAGGAAATCATTTTGAGAGCTGAGTAGAGGATGGACTAGAAAGACGTGAGGCAGGAGACCAACTAGCAAACCATTGCAGTAGTCTAGGAACAAGGCAATGAGGACTTGTACCAGGGTAGTGACTGTGTCAGAAGAGACATTTACAAGAGAGGCTACAAACCTACCCATCTTGACAACAGATTGGTTACAGAGGGTAGTGAGGTGAAGAGAGTAAAGATTTGAGGATGATGCCTAGGTTTCAAGCCTTGGTGACGAGGAGGACAGTAATACCCTCAATAGTAATAGGAAAGGGGGCAGCTAGGTGGTGCAGTGGATAAAGCACTGATCCTGCAGTTAGGAGGACCTGAGCTCAAATCCAGCCTCAGACACTAACACTAGTGTGTTAGCTGTCTGTGACTAGCTGTGTGACTCTGGGCAAGTCACTTAACCCCAATTGCTTTGCCAAAAAAAACCCAAAAACCCAGTAACAGGAAAGTTAGGAAGGGGAAGGTTTTTATGAAGAGTTCTGTTATCAACAAAGCAAGTTTTATGAAGTTTAAAATGCCTAAAAATGAGAAACTGGAGGTCAGCAGAGAGGCTAGGGATGAATAAGTAGATTTGAGAATCATCATTGCAGAGATGATTTGAATCCAGAAGAGCTGATGAGATCAGTAAATAAAATAGTATAGAACAGAGGTGCAAACACAGTCAAGTGTCCTATGATCAGATTAAAATGTAATTGGGAAATGTTTGACAAAATAAATTAAAATTAACATAACATAATGCTAACTTGTGGTTTTCTAAGTCAACATGTGGCACCCAGAGATTCAGTTTCTATTTGAATTGGACACCACTAGTATAGAGGAAGAAGAGAAGAGGGAGGGACCAAGGCAGAACCCTGTGGGACATCCCCAGTGTTGTGACCTGGATGAAGATCCAGAAAAGGACAAGGAGCCTTCAGACAGATAGAAGGAGAATCGAGAGAGAGTACTGTCCTGAAAAACTAGAAAAGATATATTATCAAGGAAAAGAGGTAGGGGCAGCTATAGAGCACCGGCCCTGAAGTCAGGAGTACCTGAATTCAAATCCAGCCTCAGACCAAACACTTGACACTAGCTGTGTGACCCTGGGCAAGTCACTTAACCCCAATTGCCTTAAAAAAAAAGGAAAAGAAGTGACCAACAGTGTCAGATGTTGCCAAGAGGCCAAAAAGGGATGAAGAATGAGAAAAGGCCATAAGATTTGTCAATTAAGAGATCACTGATAACTTTCAAGAAAGCAGTTTTCGTTGAATGAAGTGACTGAGACAAGAGGAGAGTAAGAAGAAAGTAAAGTAGAGGTATCTATTATATATGGCCTTTTTAATGAGTTTAGCCACAAAAGGGAGGAAAGATATGAGACAATAGCTATCAGGGATAGTCAGATCAAGTGAGTGTTTTTGAAAATGGGAGAGACATGAGCATGTAGTCAGTAGTGAAGCAGCTAGAAGATAGGAAGACACTAAAGATAAGTGAAAGAATGGGATTACAGAGGGAGCAATCTGCTGGAGAAAGTCACTTGTGCTTGTATAGAGGTTTTCCTTGTGAAGGGCTACCTCTTCACATGAGACAGGAGAAGGAGATAATGGCTGAAAGCATCTGAGTGGTGTGAGATGAGGAGGAGGGGATAAGAGGGAGCTATGTATATTTAATCATACTGGGAATATTACATATGTCGTACACTTTGGCTAGAAAATCAATGCCATGCCTCCAACTGTGAATGTACTGCAAAATTCTGTCTTAGACCTTCTTCTCTTTTCTCTCTATACTATACTCCCACGTGGTGACCATCAGGTCAATTATCATCTCTATAAAGAATGCTCCAATCTATATATTCGGTCCTGGTATGTCTCCTGAGTTCCTGCCCTGCATTATCAACTGCCTACTGGACTGGATGCTCTACAGGTATCTCAAATTCAGCATGTCCAAACAGAACTCATCTTATTTCCCCAAAAAATCTGCCTCTCCTCCAAACTTCCCGATTTCTGTTAAGAACACCATCCTTCCAGTTACTGAGGTTCACAACACATTCTCTTCTCCTCACTCTCATCCCACAGATCTCATGTTTCTGCTTCCACAGCATCCCCTGCATCTATCATCTTCTCTCTAATCAAAGTTAGATTCAGGCCCTCACCATTTCTCATCTGGACTATTGCAACAGCCTTCCAACTGGCCTACCAGTCTCAAGTCATTCCCCATTTCAATTTATCTGATCAAGTCATTTCCCAAAAGAATGGAGGCTCCAGATTCAGAGGATATGGGTTGAAATCTTACCTGTGACAATGATTACCTGTGCAACCTTTGGCAAGTCCCTTAACTTCTCTGGGCCTCAGTTTTCTCATATGTAAATTAAGGGGTTTAAACTAGGTGGCTTCTGAGAACCCTTCCAACTCTAGATTTATGATCCTATGATCAATAAACATTTTGGCTCCCTATTACTACACATAAATTATACTTTTGGCACTTAAAGTTCTTTACAACCTGGCTCCATCCTACCTCTCTAGCCATACTACAGCTTACTCCCTTCCACATATTCTATGGTCTAGCTAGCTCTACTCTCTTCCTTGTTCGTCCCCACAAATGATACTCAATCTGCCTTTTTACTGGCTGTTCCTCCTTGAATGATTCCTTGAATGATTCAAGAATTCCTTGAATCCTCCTCACCTCTGGTTTCTTTTCTGGAATATCTGGTTTGCTTCTTTTAAGACATAGCTCAAGCACCACTTTCAGCATGAGGCCTTTCCTGCTCCTTAGCTACAGGTACCTTCCACTACCCCAACCCACCCCAACCCCTAAAGCTTACCTTGTATCCAATTGGTGTGTTGTGTAATCTGAAGGCAGCTGACAGTACACCAGGATATAGCACCAGGACTGGAATCAGGAAGACATGGGTTCAAAGCCAACCTCAGGCACATTACTAGCTGTGACCCTGGGCAAGTCACTTAACCTCCAGTTTCAACTGTAAAATGGGGACAATAATATCACCTATCTCACAAAGTTGTCATGAAAAGAGTTTAGCAAAAAAAAAAAGTGCTTAGCAAAGCACCTAGAACCACAGTAGGTGCTATATAAATACTTATTCCCTTCCCTTCCCCCTCATTTAGGTGCATATTGTCTCCCCCATTAGGGCCAGAGCCTCTTGAAGGCAGGGACAGTTTTAATTTTCTCTTTGTGTCCTCACTACCTAGTTCGATGCCTGGAACACAGCTGGAGTTTAATAAATGCTGGTTGATTGAGTGATGGACAAAGTAGTAATTAGTTTGAACATTTACAAAATTTTGTAGAAAATTATTAAAATTTTATTTTCAATTTAAATGCAAGAAAGAAAAGTGGTCCTATTTTTATAGATGCATTACCAAGCAGTGTATTAAAATTTTCATTGATAGGTCCACAATTTTTCTGGTGGTAACAGCTGTCCCCTACCAACAGAAGCAATATATTTTAACAGAAATGCATGGTCCATGTTTTTCCAGTCCTTCCCAGGGATCTTATACACAGGTGGCAATATTCTTATTTTTCAGTGCTAAGTTTAATCAATAACAAGGAAGGAAGACAAGTTTACTTGTATATTCAGCTGAATTGTGCTTCTTTGTTATATGAAAAGCAAATTGTTTCACTTCCTGGCAGTTTCACATTCACCAGAAGCCAAGTCTTTGATCTTTCGGTAACAAAGAAGACACAAAATTGCACAATTACAACTCTATTTTGATATTTTCCTTACAATAAGTTCAGATACATTCTTAGAATTTATATCTAGCTGGAACTTTAATAATAAATTTTCCCTTCCTGTATTCAACTCAATATCCATTTCTGAAAATGGATTGTGCCAGAGTTGAGTCATTTGACATTTTATTGTTTATTCAAACTGAGACCACAGCTCAAAGCTATGTGTTTTCTTTTGTTTAAATGGATGATGCTTATTATTTTTTCAAGTAATTCAAATTTTTCCTCCTTTACATTTGCTTTATTTATTAATTATTTTAAATCTTTCAACCCATAGCCCATTATAATGCTGAAAACACAGTGTGCTGGAAAGAAATTTGGATAAGGAATCAAGTTGAGGTGATTTTTAGTCCCATTTCTATTACTTATTTCTGCTACTGTGTGATCTTAAATAAATCACTTTTCCGGACCTCAGTTTCTTCATTTTTTAAACTGAAAAAGCTGAACCACACGCACAAATTTCTTCCAGTTTTAAAATTCCATATGGCATTAAAACATCTAAATTTTCCTCTTGAAATATTGGTTACTGTATTAAAAGTCTAAACAAAATAACCTAAATATAAGATTTAAGAACAGTGAAGCTATGTGTAATCAGAATCCTGAAATCAAAAGTCATTTCTTGGAACCACAGCTCATCTTCACGCTAAGAACAAAGTAAATTACTAACAAATATTATTTTGCCTCCTTTTCTGCATATATGTGTGTGTGTATACATAAACATATGCTGCATATATAAACACACACACAGAGGCTTGGTCCATATATAACTTACTGGAAAAAAAAGAGGCATAAATGAAAAGGAAAAGATAAAAGAGTGACATAACTCTTGTGGTTTTTAAATAAAAGGAGTTTACTAATACAATTAATTGCATAAGCTTTGCCTGTCTAACTAATCAACTTTAAAACTTGAAGTTTAGTAGTTAAACCAGTTTTGCTTCTGCTCTTTCCAGTCTTGACCAAAAAGGCAAGGGGGCACCGAGGAATCTAGCTAACATTTATGGTTCCTGACTTTTCAAAGTCAGATAATAAGTAACTAAAAGCATTGTTTTCTTTGTGAACACAAAAGAATTTTTAAAAATTCAATTTTTAAAAATTAAGTAGAAAGGCAGTATTTTATGTTCATATTTCTGTAGTAATTTCTAATTTCAAAACAAACCACATAAATAGCAGTTACCAAAACAAAACTACTGAGTGTATGAAACATACCTGTGAAAGGAACCTTTTTTAAAGTAGTCTGGTTGCTTTCTTTCCAAAATACTTACATAAAATATAAATTAGCTTGTGGTCAGATTTAAAATAGCTCTCAGAATTGGCAACAGATGTAGAAAGCTGGGAAGGGGGTTTGGGTTAAAGAATAATTGATAAACAGAATGTAAAATTATCAACTATCAATTTCACAAAAAAAACAAAACAAAAAAAAACCACTTAAGCATCTTAAATTACTGACACTGGAGCCTAAATGGCCTAAACCTGCCACAATGTATTTAACACCTCATCCCATTTTAAGAGGTAGGAGATCTACCATAGTATCAAGAAGAAAAGGTACAACAGGAAGGTAAAGTTGATAGTTGAATTTATGAACCTGAAGGTTTCAAAAAAAAGTGTAACTGAGACCCTGCCTCAAAAAATGATTTTTTCATCCAAATCAGTCAGGAAATTATTTCCAACCAAAAATCTCTGCACTTCACAAGCTGCCAAGAACAAGAGTGTGTGTAAACAATCAACTTTCTGTATTTCAATCAAGTTTAACCATCAAAAAGATTCACAGGGAAAAGCCTATCATCTTTTTTGATATTTTACTACAGAGATAATAAACAAGTATCAGGATGTGGAACTAAGAAAGGTCTTAGGGGCTTGTATAATCCCTTTTACAAGAATAAAATACAGAAAAAATTTAAGATTAAAATTAAAATGCTGTAATTGAAAGTTAGGGTTGTTTTTGAATATGGGGTGGTACTGCTTATTAAGACTCCCAGGGAGGGGCAGGCAACATTACACGATCGCCAGCCAACGGCTGGCTTGGCAGTCCTGTGGAAGCACTCTGTGCTGCCATACAAGGCCTCGTGCTTGTCAAATGATTGTTCAGACCAATAGGGGGTGGAGGAGCTGTTGAAGAAATGTGTTTGTCTCTGGTAAGTAAGGGAATCTAAGTACTGCTTTGGTTCACTGAAGAACCCTGTACTGCTAAGCATAGAACTAAATATGAAGATAGTTATGTTTAGTCACTCTTGCCTGGAAAAGATGTCCCCTGATTGCTAAATTTTAAAGAACTCTTCAAAGCCACCTCATTTACTCTGATTCCATGTTAAAATCCTTATTTAAAAACTGATTTTCATGTCACATCAATAGTCTATGAGGTGATTTCTATAAAAAAATTGCTTGAAGTATATTTAGTTCATCCTGTGAACTGTTCATTTTGAAATGGCTTAAAGGACATAAGGCAGGAAATGCAGGAAAAGAAGGTAGGCTAATCAACGTTGCACCAGTGACAGGTTGAATGTTAAACAGATACCTACAAAATCTTCAAGGACCTACAGGAAGGCCTCCATCACACTATAAATCCTCTGTAGAAGACATAAGACAGCTTGGAGAATTACAGAGGATAAGAAGGGAGAATGGGTGACAATTATCTGGTTAATTTTTTGCTATAATCAACCGAATAAGTGAGAATTAAACACTGAATTTTGAGAGGGAAAGTATTATGTCTGCCAATGAGGGGCAAAGTTCAAATGAAAGGGATTTCACTGAAATTCTAGGGCAAGGGAATAATTATTGCATTTTGACTGGTATTCTTCATTCAGGAGAATACATCAAAATAACTTGGCAGCTTCTAAAACACAGCTCAAGCTGAGATTCTTTTTTGGGGGGAGGGGTGGCTAGGCAATGGGATTAAGTGACTTGCCCAGGGTCACACAGCTAGTAAGTGTTACATGTCTAGGGTCACATTTGAACTCAGGTCCTCCTGAATCCAGAGCCAGTGTTCTATCCACTGCGCCACCTAGCTGCCCCTGAGATTCTTTTAAAGTCAGGAAATATTGCACAAGAAGATACATACAGGTTTTTCCAACTACATGTACAGAAGGTCCTGAGATGTATCAAAGTGACTGTTATGTGAGGATACAATGCTTCTCAGAGGCAGCCGGTAGCACAGTAAAGCACTCAGCCTAGAGTCAGCAAGACTTGAGTTCTAATCCAGCCACCAACACTTACTAGATAGACGATCCTGGGCAAGTCCACTTAAGCCATTTGCCTCAGTTTCCTCAACTGTAAAATGGGGATAACTGCAACTACCTTGCAAGATTGTTGGAGGATCCAATGAGAATATTTGTAAAAGTGCCTAGCACAGTGCCCAGTACATAGTAGTAGCTACATAAAAGCTTATTCTCTTCCATTCCCTGTCTTTTTGTTTGAAGATTTACCAAACTGTAAAAAATGCAGTTGTACTAATCTATAATTCACATTAGCAAAAGGCTAACAGATTTACTAAGAATCTCTAATATTCACAATTTTTCTCTGTAAAGTATTCAGCGTTTACAATCCTGCATGAAATCATCCATACATTTTCAACTAATAGCCAACTACTATCAGCCTAAAATCATTATAACCAAATTGGCCTTCTTGCTCTTAATATGATGTCCAATTCATCTTCCATCCCCAAGCCATTCCACTGGCTATCCATAACACCTAGAATGCATTCCCATCTCACTCCTACCACTCTAGAATCACTTGTTTCTTTCAAAACTGTGCCCAAGTGCCACCTTCTATATAAAACCTTTCCTAATCCCTCTAGCTGCTAGTGCCTTACACACACACACACACACACACACACACACACACACACACACTCCTCTATTTTCTTTGACTATATATATACTTATCTTCCCAGATACTCTCTCATATCAAGTCCAAATTCTTTCACCTGATTTTCAAGGCTCTCCAGAATTTGGCCCTAACCTACCGAATCTAATTTCCCACCTTTGTTTAATACTTTAGACAAGCCAGGCTAGCTTCCTCAGTATCTCCAACATAAGCCATGTTAATTTCTAACCTCTATGACTGTGCTAACTGTTTTTCATCCTAGACTGCCATTCCTTGACTCTTTTCAAATCGTACCCATTCTTCAAGGTCCAATTCAAAACCCCACCTTCTCATTGAAGGTGGTTGTTTAATTGATGTGCTTTTGTAAGCACAGAAAGTTATAGCTGGAAGGGACCTCAGAGATCTCATCCAACATAT